CAAAACCCCAAAACCCCAAAACCCCGAGCGTCAAAATGTGAAATTAAGTTATTAGAAAAGATTAAAATTGAGATTTCTTGTTTGATCTATTTATTAAGTTTATCTTCTTAATGTGAATTGCTTAATCATTGAAGGTCATCATTCTATAGGAATAAATACATCTCAATAGGATTAACTCACTCAATTTTCTTATTTTTCAGTTACTGAAGAATATCTTCCTTTTTAATACTGTTTATTTGTCTGAGGGGCATCTCCATCATCTTCCTCTTTTATTCCTCCAATTCAGTCATAATGGAATACTGTCCATTGCCTGATTTATTGTTTCTCTTGGTGTAATAGTCTCCATTCAATGCACTCTAATCGTTTTGGTATCTTCCTCTCTCCTGAATAGGATCTAGTGTTTAGGGGAACCCGCCTGATGCAACTGAAACGCTTTTTCTTTATCCCAAAAATGGATCAGTCTTTTAGCTGAGGTTTCCAGTTTTATTAAGAAGTTCTCCACTGTTTGATTCTTGATTCATAGACTGATTAATGTCTCTGATGGGAGAGAGTCTATTAATTAAAGCTCTTTACTTTTTAGCCATAATTGCAACCTACCCTTAAGCTTAAGGAGTATACCAGTTTAAGTAGTTTGTGATGTCTGCCTTGGCTGCTTCATATTAGGTTTTATGAGTTCTATATGGAAGTAACTCATTCTATCTAAGAGTAGCTTTAAAGAATTTGTCCCCAGTCAAGTTGTGAATTTTGTTCTTAAGACCACCACTATTAGCAAGAATATATGAGTCACGGCCAGAACCATCAGATCTATATTCAAAAGGCTTGGCCTCTTTTCTTGGAGAAGGTGACTCTCTTCTGTAGAATTTCTAAGTTGAAGCAAAAAATGAAGTCTGGGCATCTCTTTGATTCCAAGGTCTAGGGACACTTAAACCTCCGTTATTGTTGATTATGTAGGAATCTCTTCCAGTACCATCTGAATGAAAATGAGGGAATTTAGGATCGAAGGTTCTGGTAGCTACAATATCCAATTTTGACATTTTATTTTTAATAAAATTCTAATCATCTTGCATAATAATATTCCTCAATCTTCTCATTCTAACAAATGCGAGTTCTAATGGGGTTTTGGGGTTTTGGGGTTTTGGGG